GTGTCATTCGGGCAGCTGGCATAGAGCCAATTTTCGCAGCTCCAATTTGATTGTCTTTTTAGAAAGGCAAGCAAGTTTTGGTTTCCAGTAACCTCGAGACTCGCAGGTGCAGTGCATGAACTAAAGAAAGTACCTGTTCTCATATAAAACAAAATGGGTTTAATCCTAGTATACGGTATCATGAAGGTTAGAATTAAAAAAATATGTATTGTAAAGAAGGAAAACCTCTCTGCAACAGACGTGGCTCGGTTCCATCGTAGCGGGAAACAGCTGTGCATGCGCGATATATCTGTCACCAAAGCTCGAAACCGGTGTCGAAGTTCGAAGGTCACGTTATCAAGAGTTCATAAAATGAATATCGTTTAAAATTTCTTTAAACTCTAAAGGAAAAGAAAATATTTTTTGGCGCAAGTAAATTAATTCATGGAATAGTAATTTTAAGGGGGGTGGAATCTACGAAAATCCGTTTTTAAAATTATTGTGAAAAATCCAAGGAAAAACGTTCTTTGATAAAGCGTTTCTTCTTGGATTTTTCTCAGTAATCTAAAAACGGATTTTTGAAGTTTTCTTTTTTGTCTAAAGAACGTTTCTTCTTTAATACGCGTTTCTCAATTTCCTGTACACATCGCGGAGAGGAAAATTCTGGCCGCCATGATTCCGTCGCCAAATACCTTGGCAAATTTTCCCTCCACTTTCTAGCGGCGTAATAGCATTTACGTGTATGGAAATTTTTCTTCTTTACATAGACGTTCTTTGGTTAGAAATAATCTTCATGTATGGTACAGCGGGATTTGGCGACATGATGATGAGCAGTAAACAGGTCATTTTGTTCTTGGCGCCAGTTTTCAAAATCATGTGAAGGCCGTATCGTATACTAGGATTTTACCGCAAAATCTTTTTTTTTTTTTTCTTTTCTTTTTAATAAATACCTTGTCATTTTGCAGTAAAATAAAAAAAAAGTAACCAATCGTCTAGGATAACCATGTAATATAACTATATTCGCTAAAATATCGTTGATTATTCTAATTGAATTTTTAAGTAATTATCTTTATTTTTATGTTATTCATATCATTTAATGTTGCTTCTTCCCTCTAAATTTATTTATCATTAGTAAATAATATTTCCAAATTTCAGGAAATTTTCTCTGGCATAATCCTGAAATTAATTCTAGCAGTATGATGACATCACGAAATTTAATGCACATATTTTTTCCTTATGCATGCTGCGAAATAAATATAAAATACCTCAATTTAGTAAAAAAATATTGTTAAATAGATTTCTTTCTTTCGTTTACCTGTAGAATGTCTGCAAAAAAAAAGCCTTATTTTATTCCAGATTGGGCAGATTCTAATCTCAATCTTCAGTTGAGAAAACAACTCCTATTATAATAATATTTGTGTTTTCAAGTGTTAAGGTGCCTTTTAAGAAGACACCTCACACAAATTAAATTTACCTAAAATCTAACCTAACTTTAGCATGCGTTGTGATTTATAAGAACCGGATTAGCCTCGTGTTGAACTGGGGATGATCATGAGTAATAATTTAAATAAAACGTACAGTTGTTATCCAATGTATATATCTTAATTTTATTAGTTTTTTAAGCAGAAAAGTAAACAAATTATCAAACAAAGTGTACCAAGAATAATTAAGAATAAATGTCCTCTTGGATTTATTGAATAATTAAGTGAATTTGCTACACAGTACAAGTAATACAGTCAAAAGTCGTTAATTCGGACACCCATAATCCGGAATGATCTATAATCCGGACCTCAAAGCTAAAAACTTTCTGCGCATGCGCCGCGTTGGCACATGCGCACAGGCGTTTTACGTGTGCGCGTAAGACCTTGACTACTGCGCATATGCGTGTGCGCAAGTGCAGAATACGGTTTCGCCTGCGCGTTTAATGTATAACGGACGGTGTAAGCTAAAATTATCTAATTATCTATTTCAGTTAATGTTAATGATTGCGTTGTTCCTTAATCTTCGAATTGGATCCCGCTTATTATTTTTTGCAGACTGTAAAAGCAATTTTATAAAAGTAAACTTGAACTTTCGATTATGTCAAATAGAATTTCCGATGCTGGAACTTCCAAAGGATCTACAAAACGAAAGTATGTTTCGATGTCCAACAAACAAAAAGTGGAATTGCTCCAAAAAATGGATAAAGACATGAAGAATGTGACAGAGAGGTTAGTGAAAACGAAAAAATTTCGATTGACAAGTTAGTCGGTATTCTCGGCACAGCAATTACGGGACTTGAACAGCAGAACTTTGTAACTGAACAAGAAATTATGTCTGTTTATAGAATTAAAGAGAAAGTATTATCACATAAAACAAAGCAACTTAAACAACTTACATTGAAAGAAATGTTTAATAAAGTAAACAAATAAATATTAAGCTTTTTTTTTTTGTAAATTTTGATACCCTTTAGATCATAATTGTTCTTTATTTCATAAATTACGGTTTCATATTTTTAATTTTAGAATTTCTGCATGCCATCTTACGAGATTTAAACTGATGATCTATAATCCGGAAAAATCGATAATCCGGAATCGCTGAAGTCCCGACGTTCCGGATTAACGACTTTTGACTTACCATAATTAATTTACCTCTTAGCACAGCCCACGGATATACCTGGAAACGGGATTAGTGGCAACCCTGCAATGATTTCATCATTGATCATCTGGTATGCTAGTGTTGGCTTATCTGAACACATCATCCATTCAATGATATATTCTTTTTGCGAAGCCTCCTCATTCAATCTTTCTTTCGCATAAGAGCAATTCTCTTGCTTTAACCCTTGCTGCACTGACTGACCCCAAGATCAGAAAAATTAACTGCCATCGCTCTCAGTTTCAGTAAACTGAGAAGATGCCCATACATTACCCGAAGCATTTACTAATGTTGTTTGGAAACAGAATTCCGTGATTCAGCTAACAAATAAATGCAGTCTTTGATTTTGAATTTTTTTTTTTTTTATATATATAATCACAGAGTGAAATAGAATGGTAACCTCAAAGAATTTTTTTAGAAACTCTGATTTATAGTGGCATTTAATACTCTGTATTATGTCCTGGCCCATTAGTTTGATCAATGATGTAGCTTTTTGGGGGAAAAGGGGCCGCAATATTATCACATGTTAAAATGGTTGCATCTGGATGTGCAGAGCAGTTGTTTAACAATAATAAAATCTTGCGATTTGATGGTAACCCCACATTGTTACAATGCCTTATAACCTCTTTAACAAAATACTTCATGAACCAAGAATTTTTATTATTTCTGTAAGTTACGGGTAAGGATTTTACTCCTTTCAGAGCTCTGGAATTGGTGCTATTACCTACTACCACTGGTTTATTTTTGTAAGTTCCAGCTGCATTGCTGCACACTAAAATAGTCACTCTTTCTTTAGCTTCTTTCATCCCTGACGGTGCACTTTCTTCGCTTGTCATAAGTGTCTTGCTTGCAAAAATAGCCCAAAAAGTCCAGTCTCGTCCATATTAAAAACCTGTTCGTAGCTAAAATTTTCTTCTGCCACTAACACAGAAAATTCATCAATAAATTCCTCTACAGCATCTTTATCTGCTGAAAATTTTCCCCACTTGCTGTCAGATAACGTATACCATGTCTCTGCTTAAATCTGTTCAGCCAACTGCTGTCACAGCTCCTCTATTTTTAAATCAGCATCAATCTGTTTTTCCTTTTCTTTCAGGAGCTGTCCTGAAATTGGTACCCTATTACTCCACCACTGCTTGAACCACTCGTACAAGATAGGATCAAGGTTTGCCAATTCCATCTCTTGCAATGATTTTCGGTTTCGGATTCCGGTGTTAAAATCACCTATTGCTGTAAAATTTCAACAGCTTTTCTTTATTTTTCCCTATATCATACACAGTCTATGTCGCAATTTCATACAATTCTGCTATAAACTGAGGTGTAGTATCTGCTCCATTTTTTTTTCAAAATTTCCACTTTGCATTACTGTCAATGCAATGCTTTTACGTTTTTCAATGTTGCAAGCAGTAAAATCACAAACGCCTTTCTTATTTGTCATTGTATTAAAAATTGCTGAAATTTAAAATATTTTTAATTTATCCACAAAATAACCAGATAAAAACAAAATGGCAGCACTTAACTATCTTCTGAAATAACGAAGCTCAGAAAATACAACAACATGAACTTGAAAGAAAAGTTGAGTGATTCGTCTGCTTTTTTACCTCGATGCAGATTGGAGGGGGAAAAAACTTTTACCATGATGTCAATAATTTGGTATTTCCATTATAACTCATTATTATTATTCAGTAATTATGATGTCATTATTTGATAAGTATTTTTTCTTCGATATTTTGTTCTCCATGTTGCAGTTTTCGGAACCTATAAATTGAATATTTATGTTTTGACAGGCTACGCTGATTTCAGGTCGGCGGATTTTCGGTATTTGACTGTACCAGTATTTAGAAATTTAAAAGTTCTTCAAATTTCTGAGTAGTTGTTTGAAGGCCGGGTTGAAATTTTTTAGTGATTTCTGCATAACCATTCTAAAATTAAACAATAACACACCGAACAAATATTAATTTAGAAGTCAAACAACAAATTTAGAAGCCATTTGCACTTTTGCAACTGAGGATGATAGTTCGCTAAAACCATCGAAATTAGTCCTGTGAAATTTTGAAAATATAATGCTGATTTTTGTTGTTTGACTTATAAATTAACATTCTAAAATGTTACATTTGAGTAATTTATGATTCTGCATAACTTATCAATTAAAACTTTACATTTTCTTATGTATGTGTGTTGAGTAGATACTTTTATACAGGGCATTTGCTGTTACCTTATTGTTTGAGTTTTATGTAACCACATCATCTATTCTCTGTGCATAAAAGAATGCTGGTGTAGCTATGTATTTGTATATGTGTACATTATTTCATTTAAGTAAGTCATTTCTGTCATTTTTTATATATGTTCAAACCCCAATTTTAAACTATGTTTATATTTATATCCAGATCCATAACAGATATGAACTTCAAAATGGCCACAGCTTCTCTCTATCCCAAATTCCTTTTGTTATTTCACAAAAGTATGAGGTGGAGAAGATCATTGGTGATGGAAATTTTGCTGTTGTGTATGCATGTGTTAATAGGTACATTTTTATTTATTGTTACTAATTCTGAATATAGGAAAATATAATTATCTGTATAAAATTCTACCATAAGTTATTTTAAAAATTTCTTTTAGAGTGACTAAAGCAGAATATGCCCTAAAGGTCATTGACAAAAACAAATGTAAAGGAAAGGTAAATTAATATTTGACATTATTTTTAAGATTTTTGGTTGTATAATATGTTGTAAAAATTGTGTAATTTATAGTTATTGTTTTTGTTTGTTTTTCTAATAATATAAAGTTATAACATTTTTCTTTATCCAAAATGTTAGGAGCACATGATTGAAAGTGAGGTTGCAATACTGAGGAGAGTCAAGCATGTAAATATTGTGCAACTTGTTGAAGAATTTGATTTTGAGAATGATCTTTATTTAGTGATGGAGCTGGTAAAAGTAAGATTATAAGTAGCTTTATTTTCAGAAATGTTCTGTTCACTTTCTTTGTGTATGCATTCCATTTATTCAAAAAGTTCACAGAAAACGCTCATTAGAACAGCGTATTTGAAGTGTAAAATATTACCGAATCTTCTTTGTTGAAATAATGTCTTTTAGAACACAATTCACTTAAGCACTTCTAATATTCCTGGAAACTCTCAATATGATACTTCTTTTTGTATCTGTCATTGTCTGTCTACCTCATCGTTTTGGACAACATGAACTATCTGAATGATAAAAATAGCTTGATAACATAAAAACAATATTATCACAAGGTGAAAAATCTGGCAGATACAATGGAGTGTAATAGGACTCTTTGTAATCAGAGGAAACAAACTTTTTTGCTTAATATACGAGGGCTATCCAGAAAGTAGATTACGTTTTGGAATAAAAAAATAAACAAAGTATAGGAAACAAATTTTATTATATACAGATGAAAGCCACACTCAAATACTACTTTTCTACATAGTCACCATACAAATTAAGGCATTTATCGTAGCGATGTACGAGCTTGGAAATTCCTTCGTCGAAAAATTCGGCCGCCTGCGCCTTCAACCACTTCGTTACCTCTTCTTGCCTTCCATCTTGCACAAAACTTGTGGTAACCAAGCTTTTCGCTGATGATTTCGTGCAACAAACTTCGCGAAATTGTGGAAGGAAAACTCAAAGAAAGTTCCGTTATTGTGAAATTTCGATTTTCACGGACTTTAGCATCGACTTTTTCGAGAAGTTCGGCGGTCACTATGCTGGGTCTCCCACTTCGATCTTCGTCGTGAACATTGGTTCGGCCATTTTGAAATCTTATGACCCACTGACGCACTCCACCTTCAGTGATAATGTTGTCCCCATACACTTCACGAAGCTGCCGATAGATTTCTATCGGTTTACAGTTTTTTTGCAGTCAGAAACCTTATTACTGAGCGCACCTCGCAGCTCGCGGGATTTTCAATTAACGCAGACATTTCAAACCGTCACAGTATCTGAACGGAGCACAGCACGAACCTCTCACTAGCACGGCTAGATGCAGACTGAGCTGCGCAACGCTCTGACCCCAAGATGGCCGCGCTAGCCCCGCCCCTAGCGGACACAGACGGAAACGTAATCTACTTCCTGGATGGCCCTCGTATAACAGAATGGATGGTTAAAAAATACTTTGACTCATCTTGAACTACAACTATGTTGCCTTGAATGATGTCACATCATATATTCCTTCTGTAAAGAGTGTGCCAATGTCTTCTAACAATCAGATTCAATTATTGCAAGTTTCATGCACTTGACTTTTCTGTGAATTTTTAACAGAGCTGTACCTATGTGCATATGTATTTTATAAGCAATAGCAGAATTCAAAATCATATTTTAGATCTGGGTGGATGGGTAAAGAATTATTGGGAAGAGTTGCTGTTATTTTGTATCTTGTTCAGAACTCAAAAATGGGAAAGACTATGTGGTGTATGCATGAAAAACTTAGAATTTTCTCAAAAATAAGATAATGCAGTCAAGTGTTTGATATATTTTTTGCCAACCTGAAAATGACATGAAACAGTAAGCTTTTAAAAGTTCTTTTGTGATATAATTCCACATGGTGCTGATAGTTCAGGTAAAAATGACTTAAGAGTGGTGGAAACAGCTCCATGTTATGATTTTGTGTCACCAGCAGTTTTATTTAATGTGTTCATAGGGAATTTTAAGTCACATATGTATCACTTGGGTTTGTGGTTTAATTTCACCATTTTTCAAAGGGAAATAACCTTGTTAAACAAAATTCTCTCCATGAACATGAGATTTTCAGGAATTTCTTGTGGTGGTACTTCTATTACAAACCACAGATTTCTCCCAAAATCATCTTTGGATCACTTTTGCAGAAATACACTTTTAGTGCATCAAATTTTTTTGTGTATAATACAGGTGTTGCATTGTTTGTTACACCATTTGGTTTTCCAAAGCTATTTTGATAATGCATTGTGATCGTATTTTGCTGGATTTTAATACCTGAGTTACAACTGCACCACAGGTCCGGTTTTAATCCATTTTTGGAAAAAAATAACATGTATGTTAATGAAGATATCAAAGTTTTTTAAAAACTTCAATTTTTTTTCCATGTCCTCTTGCTGATAACTTGCAGAATTTTCAGCCGTATTCAGTGGAATTAACTTAAAACATGGCAACATTTAAGAGAGACAAGCTGAAATTTGAAATAAAAATGGTGAATATTGGATTAAATATGAGCAGTGAAATAAAATAATTTTTAATTGCACATATGTGAAATAAACTTTTTGCTTTCATAGTTTTGTAGCCAAGTACACTCGTGGACTTTGTACAACATATACAGTACAAAGTCAGAGATCTGTACGTCCAATACTCAGAATGATCTAAAATCCAGACGTTAAAGCCACCAACAAAATTTTTTTTATGCAAGAGCGTTAGATTTTTTTTCCCGTAAAAAGACATTTGGAGAATCTCAATTCTTAATTTCACTTCGGCACTAAATAAAATAATCTCGTTATTGAAGAAACAATTATTTTCGCATAAATTTGGGTGATCAATAATTTGGCTCCATAGCTGTGCATCTGCTTGGCATACATCTCAAACCAAAACATTCTACATAGAAATGTTTACAACTACTAATATTTCATGTATCTGATAACCTGGCGCATCATTATTTTATATTTTGCTTTCATCACTGTATATTTATCAAACGCATGACAACTTGAGTAATGATTTATGAAGTGATATCTAAAGATTTTTATTTTATATTACAGTACAAAGTCCATAATCCGGATGGCGATTCCGAATTAAAGGTTTTTTCTGGATTATAGATAATCAAAATCTGGTTAAGGCATGCAAAAATATGAAACCGTAATTTAGGAAATAAAGAGCAATTGATCTAAAGGGTATCAAAATTTACAAAAAAAAGCTTAATATTTATTTGTTTACTTTATTAAACATTTCTTTCAATGCAAGTTGTTTAAGTTGCTTCCTTTTTTTTTTTTTTTTTTTTTTTTTTTTTTTGTGCTACACGTGCGTGCGTAAACATTAAATGCGCATGCGTAAAGCGTACCAAAAAAAAAAGAGTTTGCGGCTTTGAGGTCCGGATTATAGACTTTGTACTGTAGTAATGTAATTGAATAACAAGGGCATGGAAACCATTTATGTTGACATTATGCTTGGCGATGATTACAGATTTAAGTTAAATGCACTGAATGTTGACAAGGAAAAAATTTTAAAAAATTCTTTCCATATGCAAAAAATAAATTTTGATGATACTCATAGGCCAAAAGATTATATTTAGTGCTATTTGAATTAAGAATAACTGATTTTTTATTCGCATAAATCCAGAACCGGCGGCAACTGATATGGTCACACCAGGTGGCAGAATTTAGGAAAAGCTCTGAGACCCAAAATTAAGGGTCGACAAAAATTTAGAAGTTAGGGCGGCGCTTGGTAGCAGAATTTAAGACCTGCAGAGACTGCATCAGGGGGCAAAATATATAGTTCCTGCCCTCAGTAAGTTTAAGTACATGTGGAAATTTATTTATTCAGGGCCCAGATAAGCCTTAAACATGTGCACGAATTAGACTAAGTATAATAAATAACTAAATTAATTCAATTCAGGCTTAATTATATCAGTGCGCTATAGAAGCAAGGCAAAATTTAATGGAACATTTTGTCACCATCCTACCTAGCCAATCATGTATAGCGGACGCTGTTAGCCTAGGCTAAAATTATACTTTACTGATTCCAAAGAATTTCAGTTAATATAGCATTGCGCTGTTGGTTAACCTTTCTGATATGATCCAGCTTCTAATGTTTTTCAGGCTGTTATAATTACAGCAATTTTATGAAAACTAAAGTTTGAACTTACGATTATGTGGAAAAGAGTTTCTGTTTCTGGAGCTGCAACAGGATCTACAAAGTGAAAGCATATTTCAATGTATATTTAAAAAAATTTTTGCAAAAAATTGAATTTCTGCAAAAAAATGGATAAAGGCATATCCATCTCAAAATTATGCAAGATGTATAGCAATATAAAGTCAACTGTTTATGACATGAGGAAAAAGGAACTTTTTAAATTTTTTGTGGATTTTGACACCCCACTCACAATGAATAACAGAAAAATTATTCGCTATGCTAAAAGTGATGATCATGACAAAGTGATGATTGAATGGTCTGACAGAGATGCAGCGAGAGTATGGCATTGATGGGTCCAATGCTAATGGCTCAAGCCAAAATATTTCATGAAGAAATGAACTTAAAAACTGAGTGCACATATTCGATAGACTGGTTAACCAAATTTTTAAATCGCCGTGGTATAATGCAATTAAAAATTTCAGTTGAAAAAGCGTCAGCTGATAATGAAGCTATTGAACTCATTAATAGTGAAACGTTATCTACAGGGCAAATTTACATTGCTGATAAAACTAGTCTTTTTTGTCAATATGTAGCTTGGCAACCTCTGCAGAAAAGGCACCAACTGGTATCAAAGATTCCAAAGCTAGACTAACAGTTTTTGCATGCGCAAATGCTGCAGGAAAGCACAAGTGTAAACTTTTTGTGATTGGACAAAATACACAACCTCAAGTATTTAAAGGAGTAGTAAAGGTTTTCTTGTTTATATATTATGCAAATAAAAGAGCACAGTTGCCACAAATGTTAATGTATGATCGGTTTAAAAATCATTTCATGCCCAAGGCTCGGCAAAATTTGAATTGGGTTGGTTAATCTGATGACGCAAAAAATTGTCCTGATTGTAGATAACTGTTCGAATCATATTCCACTTAAAAGTTTTAATGAAAGCTAATGTATCCGTTGTTATTCTTTCCTCACGTGTATCTCCGTCATTCAGCCTATGAATATCGGAATAGTGCGCACGCTGAAGTACAAATATAAAGTCGCATTTTTAAAATCCATGTTAAATTTCTTGAATAATGCCAAGACTATTCAAAAATTTTTCAAATTATTTTAACATAAAATCTGCTACGTGGAGCATCGCAAGATCACGGGAGGATGTGCCTTCAGATACTTTAAAAAATGCTTTGCATAATTTGTGGCCAGCTACCATATTTCTTGGTGAGGATGATGAAGATGATAGCCGTGAATTTTGAAGGCTTTCAGATATCACACACCACAGGTGAAATTTTCCAATTGATGGATTTTGTAAAGAAATGTGAAGAAGCAGTAATAAAAGAAGATGATATAACAAAGTTTTTCATTGTGATGACAATACTCCAGTTATCAATCAATTAACAGACAGCGAAATCTGTAGTATAGTTTTAGATCCAGTGTATCACTACCAATAGTGAGCAAAGTGGTAGAAAGGTTGTTGAAAATGACAAAATTTTGATTAAGAAGTTAGTCGGAATTCACAAAACAGCAACTACAGGACTTCAACAGTGGAACTTTGTAACTGAATGAAAGATTAGAGAATGAATTAGCATAAAAAATAAGCAAATAAATATTAAGCTCTTTTTTTTTTTTTTTTTTTTTTGTAAATTTTGATACCTTTTAGTTCATAAATGCTTTATTATTTCATAAATCATGATTTTTAATTTTATAATTTCTATTTGCCATCTTACTAGATTTAAAATGATGATCTAATATCCGGAAAAATCCCAAATCCAGAATCGCCAAAGTCCCGGCGAGTCCGGATCTATTTGTATAAAAATTCATGTGAAGATTGTGAAAATTCTAAAATATAGCAATGGTATAGTGAGTTGTGTTGCAGTTACTTTCTGGAATGAGCTGGAGGATTAGAGGTTTTCCGCAGATTATATAGTTTTTTAATTTATTCATTAATTATTCATTATTAATTATAATATTATAACCAATCATTGATATTTTTCTGAATTTAAATGACGTTCACCTGCAATTTTTAAGTATGCCTATGTACTTGGTTACAAAAATAGTTTGATATAGTTTATGCATTGCAGTAAAAAATAATTTTATTTAAATTATATCTTGTCAAATATTCGCCGTTTTGATTTCAAAATTAAGTTCAATATTTTTCTTGTTGGTTGCCATGGTTTCTGTAAGTTTTGTTAAATTTGGTTGAAAACTCTGCATTGCAAAAGGAAGGAATTTTTGAAAAAAACCATCATATATATGTTAATATACATATTGTTTTTACAAAAATGTGTACAAGTTACGATGTGTCAAGTTACACATCATTTCTTACTTTTTATGCTACAGGGTGATTGGAGGTATTTTGTCATAATTGTTTGTTAGACGTACTTATGACTGAGAGTCGCCCAACCAGTATAGTGGTTAGCATCGCTGACTGCTGTGCCCAAAGAGCCCGGGTTTGAATCCCGGAGAAGGCATGGATGTTTGTAAATCCGCCATTTGTTGTAATTATCAATCTACAATTGAAACAGCTATGGCCAGAAATGCTTTGATTTTAAATCCCTCTGCAGTTGAGGCTAGCTTTAAACTTCCTCGTTTAAACATTCCGAGTTTCAATGGTAACTATACAGATTGGCTTAACTTTTAATAGACGAACCAGCTGCTATTTTTAAGCACATTCTAGTTTCCGAAACTACATATGATGAAGCTTGGGACAAATTGATGAATTGTTATTATAGAAAAAAAATCAAATTGTCATGTCAATTGTTAGAAAATTTCTTGAGCAACCCAGAATTACTAGCACTGATTCTGTGTTAATCTAAGAAAACTATCTGATACATCTGATGAAGTTGTCCATGGATTAAAATCTCTTGGTGAAAAGGCTTCGTTTAGAGATGTTTGGCTAATTTATTTTTGTTAGAAAAGGTCGATCCAGAAACGCTCCATTTATGATCACAAAAGGTTGGTGAAGAAGAATTTCCTAGCTTGGAATGTTTTTTGGAATTCTTAAACTCAAGATCTGTTTCACTCGAACTGTTAAACACTCTGTTCTAAAATGTCAGCACTGCACTGTATCTCATAATTTATCAAAGTGTTATAAAATTAAAGGTGCAGATATTACAACTAGGGAAAATATCATCTGGAAGAATTTATGGCCAAATTGTCTTGCAGGCAGAGATATTAAGGCTTTGAAACAAAGGATTTTTTATTACAAATGATATTCTCTCTAGGTAAAACTGCAAGCTTGGAAATTAATAATACTTGGAAGATTTACTAGAGGATGATGATAGTGAGCTCAGTGAGAAAGAACTGAATAATTTAAAAACAGCAACAAAATTTGATTGTAGAGGAAGTATCATCAGAGAATGAGGAAGCAAAAGATGGTGTAAATTGCAAAATTTCATGAAATGGTATCTCCCTGGTGAAACAGTTCCAAGCTACAGTAAAGCATTTTGAGTGACAATGCCATGTCACACTTAAGAAACATTTTGAAACCTAGACAATTACAAATCAAATAGGACAAATTTTGAGTGAAAAGCAGAGTCAAGTGATGTTAAGAGACAAAGGAAAAGAAAATACACCAGATATTTATCCTGGCTGTTTTTATGGAAAGGGAGTTTTCATTTAAGCAATAACATCTCATTTTCTCTTCCTAATCACCTTCCACACTTCTTCGTACAGGTACAATAAAATTAAATTTTCATGTCATCTGTTGTTTGCTATTAATATCTCAATTTTGTATTAATTTATTATACTTACAATTTATCTTTTTTACTAGTAATTTATTGTGTCTGTAATTTATCTTTTTACTGTTAAGTTATAAATATACTTGATGTTAAATGAATTTGCTTTATTTTATGTGAAAGGAAAAATAAACTAGACTGTAGTGCTTTCTGTAAAAATTTTTGTAAGCTAATATGTTTGATACAGTTGTATGACATTTGTACTACTATGTGTACTTGTAATGTATGACATTTGTACTATTATGTGTACTTGTAATGTATGACATTTGTACTATTATGTGTACTTGTAATGAGTTTTCTTTGTAACTTTTAATAAATGTTCTTATTTGAATTAAATTATATTGTATTTTGAAAGAGATCTCTTTCAGACTTCCATTAAAATATATGAAACATACCATTTATATAAACATCAAACTGAGATTGAATTTTTCATAATTTTAAGGGTTCCTTGTATTTTTGGGATGTATTCTAAAGTTACATGTCATAATCGTGAAATTCTTTGAGGGATTTTGGAGAAATATTTTGAAAGATTTTGATTAACTATAATTCATACTTTTTTGTGCTTACAGGGTGGTGATCTTTTTGATGCTATAGCTTCAGCTACAAAGTATACAGAAAAAGATGCCAGTCTTATGGTCCATGACTTGAGTAGTGCTTTGTGCTATTTACATTCCTTGAATATTGTACATCGAGATATAAAACCAGAAAATTTATTGGTAAATTTGTTCTTCAGTTTATTGGTATTTCATAAATTCCGCTGTAATAGAATATAGCAAAATGTCAGCATTACGGTGAAAATTAAGGAATATTTTAATGTTGGGCATATATATAGTATTCAATCCTAAACTAGTAAGTACTATAAAACAAATGTATTTTTATTTACTTAGATGCAGCCTTCCTTCTGTGTAAAATGAATTTTCAAAAGTACTCTTTAATTTTGTGTTTAGAAAAGAAATTATAATGTAGGAAAGGTATAAATGAATTATGTAGCTTTTTTTTTTTTTTGTGTGTGTGTGTGAGGAGTTCCATCAAAATTTTAGTTTTCCCACTGTTGTAAGTTTTTTGTTCAATTTTAAAATGAAAACTTACTGTTAGTCTGGGCTGTAATTCATATATTGGCATTTAAAAAACTTAATTGCTAGATTGGGAGACGACAGTAAAACCATGCATGATAGTGATAAAATTGTAGGGAAAGCACACAACTATAGTTCTGTATGTTATTAAAAAGTGTAAGTGTGAAGACATTTTTGAATAACTATTGGTAGACGGGAAAGAAAAGCTACTAATTTTAATGATCACGTATTTGTAAGGAAAATGTTAGAGTCCAAGAGTTACAAAAGTATTCCAAAACAGAAAAAAGTACAATCAATTAAAGAAACATGAGAGCATCTGAGCTATATGAATCAAATTGCTGAATTGCCAAAAAGATTCTATTCAGTTAACCCAAGTTGAGTGCATGGAAATAAACCTGTGGCATTAGTACAGGAGGAGGAACCTGAGGAAATGTGGAATGATAAAAGAAAATTTAATGTGTTTGATGCAAAATAGTTCCAATTGTAAAATACAGCTGAAGATCTGTTTTAGCATGAAACCATTTGGCATTGAAAGGTTTTTTGAAGTCTGAAATTGTTTTTTGAAGCTATAGGCGAAATGATGTATTAAGATAGTTCAAAAGAAATGTGAAACCTTGTGTAAATAAATATGGAATAAAAGGCACATGTTTCAACTGGGTAAAGATTTGAACTATTTGATAAAAATTGTTTGAATATGGCTTTTCTGTGTGCTTCTAATAAGGATAAAGCTATCACTCAGCTTGTAGAGACATTAAGGCCCGTTCCCACTGGGGTTTATCTGAGCTAACGGAGTCAGTTCCATGTATCGACTAGCTCCGCTGTGCCTGCAGTTCAGATTTTTCAACTTGCCGCCCTATGGGAAAAACTGGTTTTGGAGATGGGTCGGTTACGTCAATTGTGTTCGTTACCTCAGATAAACCCCAGTGGGAACGCAGCTTTAGGATTTTGGGGGGAAGCAAGAGAGATTGCAAAATTAGCAATGTCTTTACCAGGATCTCTAGATACGTGCCCAAGCTTTCAGATCACCACACGACAAAGGCATGCCAAGAAGGTGGGAGAAATACCTTATATATTCCCCCTTTTAAAGGGCGGCTGGGGTTTTTAGGGGACATTATCACCAAATTCTGGGTGTGGAGAATCATCATCCAACAACCTTTTAGTTCAGGCACCACTGTAGAGACATTAGGTTTTTTTTTTTTTTTTTTTTTTTAAGCAAGAGAGATTGAAAAATTAGCGGTGCCTTCGCTGGGAATCGAACCGTGGACATCTGGATACGCACCTGGCGTGCAGACCACCACACCATGAAAACATGCCAAGAAGGCTGGAGAAATACCTTATAAGCTGAATGTTGAAACCACTTTTGGTCACTTACATGTGCAAGAATAAAAAATTGCTAATCCATTTCAATTCACCTTCCTGGAAAATGCCCAGTCAAGATGGGATATTACTTAGTGCTTCAACATATTCACAGCTCATTTTAAATACGGAAATTAATTTCTGACTTAATGAGCCATGCCAAAAATCAGACTTTCATGGCTGATATGTAAATGAGTCCAAAGAGATGTCTTGAATATGGCTTCTCAGAATATGTCTCTGTGGACAGGGATGACCCAGGGAAAACTCAGCAATTTGAGCAAAGATTATGCACAGCTGTTGCAGCATTAACCCAGGGCATGGGAGTTAGCAAGGTAGAACTGTATCCATGTAAATTATGTCTTTACCCTGGGAAGTGCTCAAACAACTGGGGAAAACTGACCAGACCTTTTTTGTTGTTACATTACAAAATCAATCCTAACCTGAATTTTATGTCTGTGCAAGCTCTGAAGAAATCTTGGATGATAAGATAACTAGTCACCTGAGAAATATTGCAATTAAGAAAATGCTTTCCAGCAGTTTAAGCAGTTATTTGATTGAATTACTTAATTACTGATTAATTTCTGGCCGTATCATGTCTTGTGATAACACCTAATTGTATTATCAATTTTATATCAAAAGTTATTCACCATATTTTTATGTGGGATATAAACTCTGCTTAGTGGTATCCATTCTCTGATTTAATAAAAAGTGGCCAATGAACAAACAATACATCTTTGATATATAATTGGCAAAACAAAACAAAAAAAAGGGGAAGTAAGTAAAAAGTTGATACAGCATCTAATGCAAGAAAAATAGAGAATTTTAGCCTGTTATCTTATTATTTTGTCTGCATAATCACTTCTACTTTTGCCCATTCTTACCAGAATGCAAATTACTTATGTACATATAAGGTTGGTGGCAACATGGCCAATTGTGACATTTCCTCACCCAGTTCTAAGTTATTTTAGAGCAGCATTAAACTTTTGCTGACCGAGTTTGCAGAATAGTTTGAGTCGATGCTGGTTAGGCTTTTCCTTTGGGTATTTCCGACATTAAGTTACTTTAAATTGTAATTTGCATCTTATGTTAGTTTAAATCCCTCAAGCAGTGGTGAAGCACAAGCTGTGCACTTGTTAAGTTCAAAGCTTTAATAAAAAGGTTGTTTAACCTGTCTTCTTAGTTGGAATTAATTCAGTAAACATGTGATAAGCCGCCTGGCAGTCTCGGCAGGAACAAAATTTAGTTAATTATGTGAGTGGCTCCCTGCAAGTAAATTTACTGTATTCAAATTATCAGCTTTCATTTAGCTGCTGTAATAAAGTCGATTTGAACCTGTCACACCAGAATAGTGTTTGTTCCTATGTTATTTTCCTTAAACTGTGTGCATCATAATGTTTGATTTATGGTTTTTACTGTAGGTCATACATATATAACTCTTTGGCAATTTTTATCCACTTATTATGGGATACGATCTGTTACTGAATATTTTAGTACTTATTTATAATTATAATTTACCATTTACATTGTTGATTTGTTAGTAATTGATTTTCTTATGATCATTTATTTACTTTACATTGGAAAGGTCAAGAAAATTCTGAAGTAGTCATTAGAAAAATTTAAATTCTTTTTTTGCCTGGCTACTCACATGATTCGTATTTTTATCCATGCATTTAAAATTTTTAGGTTGTTGAACACGAAGATGGTTCTCGATCATTGAAACTGGGAGATTTTGGCTTAGCGGTAGAAGCTAAAGAACCATTATTTACTGTATGTGGCACACCTACTTACGTAGCTCCAGAAATACTTGCAGAAACAGGGTATGTCCGTTTTATTTATGTATGAATGTCAAAATAAAGTTGTGCTTAAAAATGGATTAACTTGAATAAAATTGCATCCAGAGAGCAGTAGAATTTTATTAAACATGAAGAAAGTTAGCAAATTTGTTAGCAATGTAATTGATCTTTCATTTGACCTGATAAATTTCATATCAGCATTTGGGGGGAGGACTGCAGAGAAAACAACTGTAGAAGAACTAAAATTTTCTTAGTAGTTGTGCATATAAGAATTTGTACTAGAAAAATTTTCAGAGGAGCAATTGCACAAAAACCCTAAAAATATTGAGGATAATTTTAAACAAGAGCCAGGATAATACCCCAAAACAAGTGTGACTACTAATGTGAGACTAATACCCCCAAAATAAGTGTGACTACTAATGTTAGACTTGCTGAAAAACATTCTTTCTATAATGTGTTGTAATTCAAATTTCTATATTTGTCAAGCTCATGTCACACAATTGACTGCTGTGTTTGTTGTGGAAATGCCAAAAGAAAATTTTTCAGGAAGAATTTCTAGAATTATTAGTTTTGCTGTTCGTGTAATGGAATTTGTAGAAGCTGTTTAACTCTTTGACTGCTAACTGTTCTAAGTTGAAGTGCTTCGCATTAGCAGCATGCAACCGCAATGACTGACTAATGTCTCATTTTTTCTCATTACTAAGCAACAAACAAGGTTGGACGTATACAATAGAAATAGTTTCCAAGCATACACGAGACGGCAGTAAATAACCAAAGCCTTTGGCAAGCTTGCAAATGCATCCGTAGTCTGCAACGATTGCTTGCACTGGATGCACATATGCACTCGTAGGCCACACCAATGGGTTTTTTTTTTTTTTTTTTTTTTTTTTTTTTTGATGCATATATATGGCCATAACAAACAATTGTTACTGTTTAGCTATGTACAGTTATTTACTAACAAGAACATCTTAGCTCTGTACTATTTTTTATACAATTTTAGTGAGTTTCTTAATAGGTCTAAGAAGTGAAACAGTGTTGAAAAAGTGTTTTTATTATTCAATACAATAGCCAATTAAATATATGTTTTTATGTTATGCTGTTCGTTAATATTTGAAGGGATAGTAAAAGAGAAAGAATGTGCAAAGAGGCATGATTACTGGAATAAATTTTTATTTATAGCCAATGCTTTTAGGTGAGAAAAATAACTTGAAAGTACTAGCAATTAGGATGGTTCTCAAATTTAGTATTTATTCTTATTAAATAAACTTATTTCTCATATTGTAACCGAACATTTGATAAATGTTATATAATTTTCAAAATATTGCTTATTTTATTTGTTGCAGAGTTATTAATAGCAACATGTGTTGGACTTGGACATATTCATTGTAGTTTCTTTGGTGTCCTTATTAATAGTTTAGTATTATATAGGATTTGGTGCAAAGTACTAGTCTGCCTCATCTCACCCGAGTTAAATTTTCTTCTAATTTAATGTGATGTAAAATTTGAAGTAGCAAACTATCAAGCAACTGTCAAATTATGTTAGTAAACATGAAATGTAAGAAAAAGATAAAAATTATGAAATTAGTTCATTTTCAGTATGATGTTCAAGGGGGTATATCAATTGCAGAGGTCAAACTCCCCTTTTTTAGTTGTTACCACGCATGATCTTGCAAGACCTTCACGTCCTTTAAAAATGGGAATTATTCAACCTAAATCCCAGGGGAACCTAGATTTAATTGTTCCTTCAAGTGAAACTATATCACCAATTTAAATATTTTTCTTAGTTTCAGTTGTACTGAAGAAATTAGCATTTCTTAAATCAAGAAGATACCGAGTTTTCTTTTTTTTTTTTTTTTTTTTTTCTGGAACTGTTTTCTGAGTGTTGTCTGATATTCTTTTCGTTTTATTAAACTTTCTCTTGTTGGAGAATAATTCAGGATCTTAGCAAGGTTGTATGGATATTCATTTTTATGTTTGATCAATAGAAAATCAGCCAGTGAAAGCAGTTCGGGTTCATGTAAATCATTGTAAACATAAATCAAATGATGTCTATTCACAGTCTTTTCGACTTCCATCAGTACAGTCATAAATTCTTCAAAATTCAGTTGAGCTCTGCCTAATATCTTTTTTGATGGTTCCTTGATTGCTTTTCATAAGGTGTTTGTAAAAAGCTCCCATCATGGAGCAAGCTTCACGATAAATTTCCAAGTCAAGCCTTCAGTATCTAGAAAATTTAGATAGTGTGCTCCTTTAATCCTGCTTTAAAAATACTGTAAATCTTTGGCAGCATATTTGAAAGTCTTTGCGTTGTCTGAATAAAAGCTGCAATAGTTTCCTCATCTCAAGATCAAACATCCGAGATCCAGAATGAATTTATTTGCAGACATATTGGAAATGGTTCTGGATGAAGCCGCTTGTGTAACTGCATACATAAACAATACAATGTATGATTTCTGAATGTCATTTCCAGACTTGATATAAACCGGACCTGTGAAATCCACACTTGTAACAGGCAGGGGATGTTTCTGCAATTCAATCTTTAGGTAACTGAGCTGGCATTTGTTTAGCTAGTTTTACTGCATATTTTTGGCATATTAAACAGTTTCCTAAAACCTTCTTCATCAGCTGGAAGCCTTTAGGAATCCAAAATTTCTGTTTTAGTGTGGCCAAAGTTACTCATGCATGTACTAGAATGTTATTATGTTTTCTTTTTACAGTTAATTCAGTAAGTTTGGAATCTTTAGAATATATTACAGATTGGAGAAATTGACTTGTTAGATTTACGAGCCTTAATTTCAGGTGTGAAGAAATCCATCTGAGCTTTATGAACACAAATTATTTAAGTGTCATGAATTTCAGAAGCACTTAACGCTCCACTATTAGCAAGCAGTTTTCTTGCCTTAGCAACAAAACGTTTAATCCATGCCACAATTCTGTGAAATTTTATTATATCCAATAGTTGATTGTATCTTTTCACAACAATGTCATAAACAGATAACTTATTATAGTGTTTTAGTTGTTCATACAATTCTGAGAAATGTGAGCACATAACTGAATTTTATTATATCCAATAGTTGATGGTATCTTTTCACAACAAGGTCATAAACAGGTAACTTATTATAGTGGTTTAGTTGTTCATAGTTCCAATGTCGAATTTCTGTTGAACTGACCAGTTTATGCATTCGTTTTGTAACCATTCCGGTCCAGACCATCAAAGTGAACAAACAAGTCTTCAAATAATTTACACTTAAACCTCTGGTTAATAAATCTGAGGAATTTTCCATACCTTTACATTTCCAGTTATTGGAAGATACTCTGATCCAGTGTAATACAATTTGCAAATCTGTCCATAAATATATATGATAACAAATATGATTAAATAATTTAATTAGATATTTTGCAAGTCCAGCTGCTGTCACTGCTCCCAATAATGCTAATTAGGTGTTAATATTAAGCTTTTAAGAGGAGCTACTCTGGTCCTCGATAAAATGAAACTTGTTTCAATTTCATCAAATTTATTTGTATATCTGAAATATGCTATACAGCCATATGAGTTATTACTTGCGTCACAGAATATCTGTAAGGAAATGTCACTATTTTGCTTATCAACATTTTGAAATTCTTTTTCTAACTATCGATATTTCTTGTAAATGAATTATTTCTGCAAGTCACTTCTTAAATTCACTTTCAATAGCATTTGGAGGCTGTTCGTCCCAATCAAGACCTCTTATCCATATCTGCTGTAGCAGGCTCTTAATTTTAACCACAAATGGAGATATAAATCCAGTTAGATCATAAATTTTAGCAGTAACTTGTAACACTGTTCATTGAGTAAATAACACACAGCTAGTTGAAGATTCTGAAGATTTTAAATCTAATTTAATAGTGTCACTTTCTGTATCCCAAAATCAAGGCCTAAACTTTTAACTTGCAACAAGGAATCATTCATTGGTAAACCGTTTTTTAACCACATGTCTTTTAACTCTATAATTTGAATTAAATTTACGTACATTCATACTCGCGTGCTTTAAAATTGTAACTGCATCAAATGACAGTTGGTATGTCTTTTCTACTGTATTTCAACCATAATGCAGATCATTGACATATAAAGATGAATTCAACATTTCATAACTTTCAGGTTTTTTAGTGAAGTATTTTTTGATATGGTAGCAAATTGTAACTGTCGTTCATTATTGCATTGTTCATAATGGTAATATTTTGTAAACAAGTTTTCTCTTTTCCAAATTTGGAACCTGTAATTACCCATCCAAAGATTGTTTTAATGCACCTAAATGTATATTTATTAAGATTTTTTTATCGAAGATGAATTTCCAAAATATATCAGATCCTATTAGGATTTCAACATCCAAATATTTATCTCTGCAACATGAGTCAGTGAGTGGTAATTTATGACTAGCCAAATAAATTCTGACACTTGTTTATCTGGAAGGGAAATTATGTTATGTTAATCCTGTTATGTTAGCGTTAATAAAAATTTCGATTTTAATTGAATACTGTCTATTATTTCTACCTTTGATTTCAAATTCTATGATTGGGTACTTCTTCTCTGCTGCATACTGCATTCCAAAAGAATAAATGAATTTGCAACAACTGCACATGTTTGTAAATAAACATTTTTGGAACATGTCATATTTTTTTGCTTTTTACTTCCCTCCTCCCCTCTGAAAAATGGCCAAATATATAACTGAAGATCTTGCACAAAGCATGAAGATAAAACCATCAGTGATAGGTTTATTTAGGTATGGCAAAGCACCCAAGGACTATCTAAGGGGAGGGAGGACTTTGTAGGGGAAACTGGCTTGTATACACATTACACATGGGGAAAACCACACCATCGGTGATAATAAGCATGAAGTTAGTAGCATAAAATGCAATAATCTGATCTGTCAAAGAAAGCTTAGTAAAATTTATGATTATCTGTACATCTGAAATAATGCTTACTGATGAAGTTCATTATGATTAAATATTCATATCTGAAATTTTATAAAGTTTTATATTTATATTTATATTTATATATATAGTGTAATATATGTTATAGAAACTTGCTCATAAATGATTATTTCAGTTTGCAACATATTTTTAAATCTAAAAATACTAATAACTTTGCTAAGGCAGCATCTTCTGTCATTTAAAAAAAAAACTGTTTTGATTTTAGATACGGACTGAAAGTAGATGTTTGGGCTGCTGGTGTTATAACATACATTCTGCTTTGTGGATTTCCCCCATTTGTGAGGTGAACATTATTTTACTCAGTTCAATGCAATTTTTTGATATATTTCTTTAAATTTTTGTCAGATTTATTTCTCTAAAATATTTAAAGTTGACAGTATGCTTGATGTATTTTTTCATTTTAATTTGTCATGATGCTTTTAAACTCTTGACTTTTTTGTAGACGTATTGCATTAAATTTGTGTGCAGATTGTTCTGCATGCGGAGATCAGTACTTACGGCTTTAAATTCATTCTAAACAAATGTGTCTTAACTGCAACAAAATACTGAACCACATAAGGTTATCTAATGCTGTCACCACATAATCATGTGGAAAGTGCTGAAATGCCTTCCGCAGTGAACTTAATTGTGGTAGCTTAATTAGCTGAATTTAATATAGAAACAGTAAGAATCACTAGTGAATAGCTAAATTTACTGCTTTTAGTTTTTAGCTATCGAAATGCACTGCTACTTTGAATAACAGAAATAATAGAATCTGAATTTTTTTTAAGTCACAAATAATTACTTGTTGCCAATCAGCATAAAAGAAATATAAATGTGAATATTAACAAAGTATTAATTAATTTTACAAAATAATTAAACACTTTCAAAAATATAAAATTCTTGAAATTAAAAGTAATTACTGTCAAAAGTCGTTAATCCAGACCTCAAAGCTACAAACTTTCTGCGCGTGCATCAACGCATTATGCACGTAATACTTTTACTGATACAAAAGCAAAAAGTTTAAAGTTGTAAAAGAACATTTAGCAGAAGTAGCAATAGAAGCTCCCTAGGGTTATATACTGTGCAGACACTGAAGACAAAAGTTTTAAACTTAACTAATTTATTAACAGTATATAAAAATAAAAGCACAATGAATAAATTTAATCAATATCAGAAACATAAAGAGTATAACATAATCATTATATAAAAAAATTACACTTAATTGATTATCCATTAACCCCCAAGGGTTTTTCCTTTAAAGAATGTTACACTATTAAAGACACGGTAAATATTTTTACCTGATCTCTAAATACTGGCATTCAATACGCGAAAAACATATCACTAAACAGAAACTACGCGGTTATAATGAAATTTGCTTCACTATCAATAAGTCCATGCTTTGTGGTCAAGAAGGCACCTGAAAAATTAAACTAAAATCCTTGAGAGCACTTAAACCCGCAAAAAGCTGCTCACTGTAGTTACACACGAGAAATCACAGCTTGGAAAAGCATAGCCGCTAATTCTGAAAAAACACTTGTGTTGAAGATACCGCCTTCATGAAAACAAGATGCCGCCCACAGCAGTCGCTCACATTGTTGCCGATTTTCAGAATCCAGAAAAAGTCATCTTTCGGAACAGAATCATGGCACTAGTCGCTGGCTGGCATGCATCGCAATATCGTTCTCCAATGGGGGCTGGAACGGCACACCATGGAGCAATGAAACAGGAACCAGAAGGAATAAGCCAGAGCAACGCGAGATACTTATAACTGAAGTAGACATGACGTCATCTCACGGCAATCAATCAGCTATCGGCACGTCTCAGCTTTCCAGATGACATAACATCAAGTTTCGTTTTTGCATCTTAATTAGGGTGGAACAGTCCGTTCTTAATACAAACAGTGGCAGTGAAAAACGAATTAGAAATAATTACTATATCCCCTTAAAATAAAAACTAAGCCTTATGTAAAAGTTATTTCGAGGAGGAGAGATGTTGCAGAAAAAGGGTTACAATAGGTCATATTTTCCAACATTTACGCTTGCGCATATGCGTGTACGCATGTGCGTAATTGTTGGAAAATATGACCTTTTGTAACCCTTTTTCTGCATCATCTCTCCTCCTTGAAATATTTATTAGGCTTAGATTTTATTTTAAAGGGATATAGTAGTTACTTCTACTTTGTTTTTCACTGCCACTGTTGGTGCAAAAACAAAACTTGATGTTACGTCATCTGGAAAGCCGAGTCGTGCCGATAGCTGATTGATTGCCATGAGATGACATCATGCCTACTTCTGGTATAAGTATATCGTGTTGCTCTGGCTCATTCCTTCTAGTTCCTGTTTTCTTGGCTCCTGGGTGTGCAGTTTCCAGGTCCCTATTCCGTGAAGACGTCCAATTGCAAGATGCGTTTGCAGTCCTGAATAAGTTCCATGGTTCCAGTCTACAAGATGACTTTTCCTGGATTCTCAAAAGAGGCTACAATGGGAGTGACTGCCGTGGGCGGCATCTATGTTCTTCATGAAGGCGGCATTTAACATAAGTTAGCGGCGATGTTTTTCTAAGCTGTGATTCCTCATGTTTAACTACAGTGAGCGGAGTTAGGCCGGTTTTAAGTGCTCTCAAGGATTTAATTTAATTTTCAGGTGCCTTCTTGACCATTAAGCATGGACTTATTGACAGTGTAGCTAATTTCATTTAAAACCGCATAATTTCTGTTTAGGATATGTTTTTCGCGTATTGAATGCCAGTATTTTGGAGATCAGGTAAAATATTATTTAATATATGAAATTTTTGATAATGATGGTTATATTTTTTTAAGTTTCTGATATTGTTTAAATTTATTCATTGTGTTTTTATTTTTATATATTGTTAATAAATTGGTTAAGTTTGAAACCTTTTATTGTCTTCAATGTCTGCACAGCACATAACCTTAGGGAGCTTCTATTGCTACTTTCTGCTAAATGTTTAATTTATTACAACTTTAAACTTTGCTTTTGCATCATTTTGGTTATGGGCCAGCCCCTGAGTTATCTTTAGTGCAGACTTTTGAAGTTTAAAAAGTTAATTTAGGACTTAAGAGACTGGGGGGGGGCGGTTTTTTTTTTTTTTTTTTTTTTTTTTTTAAATTTCAAATATGGCTACTGTTAATGTTATGCATAATATTGCTAAACTTGATGAATGTAATTACTTTACATGGTCTAAAGATATGAATTTTTTTTAAATGAGAAAATTGCATGGCTTTTGGTTAAAGGTATTGAAAAATGTCCTGATTTAAATGATGTGAAGGGTATTACCAAAAAAATTGTTGCTGACTATCAAAATAGAAGTCGTTTGGCATTATCTTTAATTTATATGAATGTAAGCCCTGAATAAAGAAACTTGATAAGTGAAATTGATGACCCGGTAATTGCATGGAATACGCTTGCCAAATATTTCCAGCCAGATTATCGATCTAGACATATGTCCTTGTTTTCAGAGTTCTTAAATTGTAAAATTAAGCCAAGTGAATGTATTAGTTTCTTTTCTTCTAGATTAAAACGGGTAACTGAACAATTAGCTGATATTAATCAGGTTGTAAGAGATGTATACATAGTATGTTTTCAGTTTCTTAGGATCCTTCCAGATAAATATGATCAAGTAGTTCAGAATGTTTTGAGGTGGCCAGATGAAAAGTTCATATTTAAAAATGTTGAACTTGAAATACTAGCAGAGGAAACGCGTCTTTAATTAAGAGAGATAGATAGGAAAATTCCAATAAGACTATAGAAGTCCAAAGTACTCACTTTGAACCCAAATTTAAGCAGATTAAAGGGCTCAAGTGTTATAAATGTGGCCGTCCAGGTCATATTCAAAAATACTGTAGTATGAAAGGTAATTTTTCCAGATCACCCTCGCCTGCTTCTTCTGTTTCCTCAGCTGTATCTAGTAGTAATAAAACATCCTCTAAGTGTAAGAATAAACCCAAGTTGTGTAAAGGTAAAAATAATTCCCATGCTCAGTCCCATTTTATAGCTCAAGCTAATGTTAACAATTTGGAGGAAAATGATGATAGTTGGATTTTCAATACTGCTGCATCTCATCATTTTTGTAAAAATCGTTAATTGTACAATACCTTTTCTCCTGTGAAGAATGAGAATATGGTAGTAGCTGTTGATGGGGTAACTTTTCCAATTCATGGGAAGGGTACTGTTAAAATGAAATTTGGGGATAGATGTTTTATACTCACTTGAACTGAGACGAAATTTAATATCTGGACCTAAAGTGGATATCAATGGAGCGAGATTTTATGGTGAAAATGGGCAAATTAAAGTTACTAATGATGAAAATGAAACTAAGTACAAGGCTAAGTTGATAGGAAGTAACTATCATGTATTCTCGAAAATAGTGAAAAGGGGGGGCAAATCTGTGAAATTTGAGGCATCCATAGTTCAGCATAACAATAGTGAATTATGGCATGATAGGTTTGGTCATATAAATTATGGTGCTATTGTCAGGACTAGTAAGAGAATTTGTTTTGTGAACATTGCCAAATCAAAAAGCAAAGACGAATCTCCTATAGACCTTTAGAAGGTATTCGAGTGAAGAGACCGCTTGAAAGGGTTTTTTCTGATGTATGGGGACCTATTAACATTCCAGGTAGGAATAGAGAACGTTATTTTGTTTCCTTTATTGACGAATATTCTCGTTATGTGGTAGTGTACCCCATCGTAGAGAAAAGTCAGGTGTTTGAAGTATTTGAAAGGCACATAGCACGTGCTGAAAGATCTCTGAACCTTAAGTTGATATATTTTAGAACTGACAATGGATGGAACAATTCAGGTCATATTGTAGTAAAAATGGTGTAAAGCACGAATTTACAGACATATCTACTCCGGAGTTTGTGAGAGATTCAATCAGACAGCTCTCAACAATGTACGTGCAATTTTACGTGATAGTGGAATGAGTCCTGAATTTTGGTCAGATGCAGTGATGTATTTTGCATATTTATTTAATAGAATTTGTCATAAGGGCCAAGATAGAACCCCATTCGAATTGTATACTAAACGGAAACCATCAGTATGTCACCTTAAGGCATTTGGAATGATTGCCTATGTGGAAATTCCAAAGGCTAAAATAAATTCTAAGCTTGATCCAAAGGCAACAGAGGGCCGATTGATTGGATACAGTGTACGAACAAAAGGGTACAAGATTTGGTTGGAAAATGAACAAAAGGTAGTAGAAACCCTAAATGCTATTTTAAAGAGTCAATTGGAATGCAGAAAAGTGGCAGTGGACTGCACTGGGCACCCTTCCTGATTTGGA